TTAGCTTCATGTGATCACTTGGATATTGCTTTGATATGCAGCAGGTTCCAAAGAGTACCAGTTTGAAAAATTTGGTTTTTTGCTCATTAAGTAGTGTAAATCGATAAATTTGAAAAGATAAACGAAGTAACTGATTGCTTTATTTTTAGTTTAAACTCTTTATTCAATATTATACTTTATTACATAGAAACATAGAACACCAGTCACACACACACAAACTAAAAAACACACACACACTAAAAAACACACCAAACATGACTTGCAATATTTTATTATCTTTGTAAAATATATACAAGAATAATGAATGCACACACACACATGTGCATTCAGACAACTTTAGAGCGAATAAAATATAGAAATGTAATGTATTATAATGTTATGTGACTAATCAATCAATCAATTAATCAATTAATTAGTTAATTAATTAATTAATAAGAGATAGGACGCACTAAGAACATGATCAAATAAATAAATAAATTCACGAATCCAATTAACATTCATTCATGAATTAATTAATTCACAAATGAATTAACGGATGATGATAATAAATGATAATTAAACGAATGAATTATTTATCAATTTTGTGTAACCAATTCATGAAATACTTAGAGAACGTTAACTTAATGTATAATTTATAACAAGAAAGATACCTCACTAATGACATGTAAGCATTTCAAAAGAGCATCACAAGCAATCGATCGATCAATCGATCGATCAATCGATCGATCGATCAATCGATCAATCGATCAATCGATCAATCAATCAATCAATCAATCAATCAATCAATCAATCAATCAATCAATCAATCAATCAATCAATCAATCAATCAATCAATCAATCAATCAGTTAACCGATCAATCAATCAACCAACCGATCAAACAACTAGAGCGAATGTTATCTAATGATCCCAAGACATTATGTTGATTACCAACACTGATTACAGTTACTCTGAACAAAAATAAGTATAAATTAATAATAATTATAACTATAATTATAACTATAATTATAACAATAATAATATTAAAACCAATGACAGTATCAACGTTAACGTGTTAATTATTGGTAGAGGCAATTTAATTATAATTATTAATATTATTAAAATTGATGGTATCATCATCATCGTCATCATCCCAATCAATGAAAGTGATATTATCATTGCAATTTTTGATCAGCAACAATCAACCAACCAGCCAGCCAACCAACCAACTAACCGACCAACCTACTAATCAACCAACCAAACAACCAACCGACCAACCAATCAACCGACCGACTAACCAACCAGCCAATCAATTAGCCAACCAGGCAGCCAACTGAATTAATCCGTTATCAGCATTATAAGAAATTAATTATTACTAATACTCAATCATTCAGTTCCTAAAACGCGTTTAATGATGACCAAAACAATAATCAATCAATCAACCAATCAACCAATCAATCAATCATTCCAATTCGAAAATAGCCAAAAATGTCATTTGAACAAATTGACCATTCAACAAAAACCAACCATTGAATTAATATTAATGAATTTTATTCGACCAATCAACAACCAGTTAATTGGAATTGACTAATCACACATCCTCAGTTAACTTAAGCTTGAATTAACCAATCACACACCAGTTAACGTGGATTTTAACCAACCAATCATACATCAGATAATTTGAATTTAAATTGACCGTTCACTATTCAGTTAAGAGCAAGTTAGTTAGTTAGTTAGTTGAGTTCATGATCTTCGAGATATTTATATTCAAATGTGAAATCCTCCCTCTGCCTCTGAGCCCAGGCCTCAAAATCAAAATACAAGTAGGAGCCCTGAAATTAACATATAATGAATATTAATCGGCAAATTAGCGCCGAAAAATTAGCACACCGTGAATAATTATCAACTAAATTAGGCCTAAAATATTCATGAACGGATGGCGTGAATAAAAATTTAGACTTGTTGAACGTGTTGATTATTTTCTTTAAATATTTGTTTATATGCTTAGGTAAATGTGTTTATTAGTTTAGATACACGTGTTCAGATATTTAGATGTATGAGCTTAGATACTTAGATATAGAAAGACGTTGTTTATCTTTAAATAGATACAGTAGAAGTTGTATATCTCTAGATAGATGTACCTGTTCATAGTCTTCATTTATGATCTTTGGTTCTTCGAACCTCTGAAACCACATGAGGCATTTTGTATGAAACCTCCATGATTTTAACTTCAGTGCCTTAGCTGCCAGGTGCTGTGCTTTCGTACCCTGTTCATCGTCATCGTCATCGTCATCGTCATCGTCGTATTCATCAACATAATTTATTCAAAAGTATCAAAAATCAATCAATACGGTACCATTATCACCAGAAATGACATAATCATCATTCTTTCATCACTATCATCACCACCATCATCATCATCCTCATCACCATCCATCTTGACCTCCATAAAGTAGAAAACAAAGAAGAGAGTCTCAATGTGCAGCTGGTTGAAGAACTCGATGGAGTCAAATGAGAGGTGGCTGGCTGGCGTGTAGTAGGTCGGACTGTTGTACACGTTCCTCGGAAGACAAGGCCTGCATTCCGTTCATTCGTTCATTTTTTATTCATTCGTTCATTCTTTCATTTGTTCATTCAATATTTAGTTCATTTATTCGTCTATACAGCCAATCGTTCTTTAGATGTTCATTTAATTATTCGTTCATTCAACTGTATATTCGATCATTCAATCATTCACTCATTAGCTGGTTGATAGGTTGATTGATTGACTAATTGACTAATTGAATAAACGTTAATACGTTGAATGAACGGAAGCTGTATATCTCTAGCTGTATAGCTGTATATCTTTTATTATTTTTTTAACCTAGTGGTTAAAAAAATAATAAAAGCAAAAACTAAATTAACGGAAGAGTTGAAAACTTTGCTCATCACGCCAGCAGTTAAAACGGATGATCTATAAATAGATAAAGAGTTTAAAACAGTTGGGCAAAAAAATATAAGAGAGAGAGCGAGAGAGAAAGAAAGAGAGGGGAAGAAAAAAGAGAGAGATAGAAACGTACCTGATTTGTTCAGAGTCAATCTCATAGGGAATGTGATTGATGGCAGCTCCCAGCATGACCAGCTGATGTCGATGGTACTTGTCCAATGGCTGGGTGCCCAGAGGAGCCACGCCTAATAAAGGGTGGAGTCGAATAACTTTGGTAGAGTTGGACTGAGGAGGATTGACCAATAGGGATGAAGACGAGTCGTTGTTGTAGTTGACAGAGAGATTTGATTGGTTGTTGGTCGATGACGGGGGCTGAAGTTGTTGCAAGGGATAGTTACCGGATGTTATCGTTATTGTCGTCGTCGTCGCGGCTGACGCTAGAATCGTCGTCGTCGTCGTCATTGTTGAGTTCAGTACGGATGATGACGACGACGAAGTGTTGTACATTGTTGGTAATGATGTGAGTGATGTAGGCAAGAATGATGATGATGATGACGATGGTAAAGATGATGATGATGCTGAAGACGAAGAGGAGAATGGTGTAGGGGCGGTTGACGGCGTGGGCATCCCCTGCTGTGATTGGCCGTTCACAATTTTGGAGAAATCTGATTGGTTGTTGGACCTGGCGGCAGCAGTTATTGACAACTGCTTCAGCGACATTGCTGCTACTGATACAGGATCTCTCGATGAAGACGACGACGACGACGACGTTGTTGATGATGACGTTGTTGTTGCTGTTGATGATGATGATAATGATGTTGTTGTTGTTGTCGATGAATAGGATGTTGTTGTTGTTGACGTTGTTGTAGTAGTAGTAGTAGTAGTAGAAGTAAACGAGGAGGAGATAGAAGTCGATGCTACAGCTGCTGTCGATGATGAAGACAATAATGAGAATGATGATGAAGAAGATGATGATGATGGAGCTAATAGACTTGGCCTGTTGTCCAGCGACGATGACAATTCTGTAGGCAAGTGAATGGGTCAAGAAATGATCGTAGGAATGTTTTTTGGGGGAAAAAGAAAAACCACCATGCAACTACTAACTAGTTGTGGATGAGTTAACGTGGGAGCTAGCCACTTTGGCGTAGTTGGCCGCTGGCGACGACGATGCCACGATCGATGACGTCGTTCGATTGTTGCTGCTGCTGCTATTGGTCAACATTTCGTTAGTGTTGTTGTTGTTGTTGCTACTGCTGATGTTGTCGTTGTTGTTTTTGTTGTTGTGGTGGTGGTGGTCAGTGTTATTAACGTTTTAAATTGTATTAACGTTGTTATTGTTGTTGTCGTCATGTCAATGAATGAATAAATACAGCAAGATATAGTTATACAAAAAAAAATGAAATTTAGGATAATTGAATGATTGAGTGAATGTCTGATAGAATAAAAATGAATGAAAAAATTTATTGATTGATTTAAAAAACTAATGAAAAATGAATTGAATGATTGATCGATTGATTAAATGACTGACAGAAGGAAAATGAATGAAAAGATTGATTGACTAGTTAAAAATTATTAATGAAAGAATGAATTGATCGAATGAATGAATGATTGATTGATTACTTCTGATTGGCTGCATGGGAAGAAGCTTTTTTGAATTCATCAAACACACTCCTCCCACCATCACTCAGCTTTGAGAAACCACCTAAAATGTTCAACATCATCATCACCATCATCATCATCTTCGTCGTCATCATTATCAAGACCATGATTGCGATCATCATTACCATCATCATCATCATCTTCTTCGTCATCATCATCAATGAGATACTTATTGAAAGCAAATTTCTACAGCAGAAATATAATTAATTGCTCAATTAATACAAATATCTATTAAGTAGTCAGCCAGTCAGTTAGCTGGCAAGTAAGCAAATGAACGAGTGAATAAACAAATAATTGAATAAAAGAATAAATAAACAAATGAATGAATGAGCGAGTAAGTGAGAGAGTGAACGAATGAATGAATGAGCAATCAGGAAAAACATTTGGAGCATGTACCAAAAAAATGTGTGACAAATTGACCGTAGCAAAAAATGAATTAATTACAATGATAATGATAGGAAGAAATATACTGAATGAATGAATGAAAGAGTGAATGAAAGAGTGAATGAAAGAGTGAATGAAAGAGTGAATGAAAGAGTGAATGAAAGAGTGAATGAAAGAGTGAATGAAAGAGTGAATGAAAGAGTGAATGAAAGAGTGAATGAATGAATGAATGAATGAATGAATGAATGAATGAATGAATGAATGAATGAATGAATGAATGAATGAATGAATACGTAAGCAAACAGAAGAATGATCGAGCGAATGAGCGAGTTAGAAAAAAAAGAATAAAAACAAACAAAAAAAAGAACACTGCTAACTATCGGCATGATGTTTATGGTGATGATGGTGATGATGGTGAGTGGCCGCCGACGACGACGACGACGATGACGTCGACAACGAACTATGACTTCTTGTGGCTGCCGTCGTCGATGATGACGTCATCGTCGTGGAGGAGGAGGAGCAAGAGCTGGCCATTATCAAGCCGTTTGTCTGCCGCTTTTGAATGTGTGGCAAACGTCAGTTGGGTAGAAAGATCGAAATGATGGAAGGAGAGAGAGAGAGAGAGAGAGAGAGAGAAAGAGAAAGTGAAAAAGGTGGAGGGAGAGAGCAAACAATCGAAAAAACAAATGAAGAAATTAACTAATAAATGAACGAATAGATGAGTGAATGACAGAACGAATGGAAGGAATAGTAAATGAATGAATGAATGAATGAATGAATGAATGAATGAACGAAGCTTACAGAATCCAGTGAGAGTTGGGTCAACATCCTTGGCCTCTCATCATCATCCTTCATGAAATTAAACATTTAATCAATGTATTCACAAACAATTAAACAGTCATGCAAACTACCTAACAAACCGAAAGACTTAGAGAAAAAGCGAGATAGAGAAAGAGAGTAAAAGAAAGAGAGGAGAGAGTAAAAGAAAAAGAGAGGAGAGACAAAGATAGAGTGCATACGAGAATAAAGAGAGCACAAAGAGAAAAAGAAGGAAATTAAGTGAATTAACCTGAGAACTCTTACATTATCTTAATCTATTTTTCAATCTTATTTTGTACTTTCCAGGCTACCTAGACCTACAAACTGTTTGAATGTGTCGGTGTGCAGGCTTATAAAATAAGAAATAGGAAACACGGACGTCAACATCCTATTTGTCCCGGGTTCAACTAACCATGGGATTAAGTTTGAGTAGATGGGACGTAGGAGGGGTGTTGATGGGTGAGGAAAGGCTGTCCCTGCCCAGGTCAGACGTCTCACTCGATCGCTCCTCGTCGTTCACCATCCGAGTCTGCAACTTGCTTCCTAGAGCTTCCGATTCCTGTGTGCAGTGTTGTGCCGGTGTTTTCATGTTTGATAAACCTCAAACCAGCCAACCAACCAACCAACCAGTCAACTAGCCAGTCAACCAGCCAACCAACCAGCTAGCCAGCCAACCAACCAGCCAGCCAACCTCATCAAGATTGAGTTCATCATAGAGATACATCATAGAGTCATCTGAATTGAGTGGTCCCGACGATGAGGTTGGGTCGCTGCCGAGGGAGACGTAGTACTCAACACTCTCCTTTATTTTGTTGATCTGTGTGTGTGTGGTGTGTGTGTGTGTGTGTGTGTGGTGTGTGTATTATGTGTGCATACATGTGTACGTGTGTGTTTGGCATAACAAACAACCAGAAATAAATCAAACAGAAATGTATACCAATAAGCAAACAGAAAAACAGAAACCAAGAGACATGTAAACAAACAAACAAATAAACAGACAGAAAAAAGATGGACAGTCAGGCAGGCAGATAAACGAACATCAAAACGAAAAACGTACCAACGATATATCTAGAGCGTCGTTGTCGACAAGTCTCATGGTGAGTTCCAATCGACCGATGTGGAATCGATGTTGCTCCAGGTGACATCGATAGTTATCCACTTGCTCCTGTTTCTATTTTTAAATCAGCAAAATTAGATAACTTCTCCTGAGAGCTGATCAATTATAACAAATTAATCACTGCCAACAAAATAAACATTCATTTGAATGATCAAGCAACCAATCACAACCGACCAGCTAATCATAATTAATCAATTACAACTAGCCCGGACAAATAATAATTAATCAACCAATCACAAACCGACCAGCTACGCAATCAACCAGTCACAATTAACCAATTACAACTCAACCAATCACGACTGACCAATCTCAACTGACCACCCAATCTCAACTGACCACCCAATCAAAACTGACCATCCAATGACAACCGTCATACCACACAATCAGCCAATCACAATTAGCCAACATCAATTAACCGGTGACAGCCAACCAATCAGAGCCAACCTCACTATCCAGTTTCTTCTTCTTACTGATGATGGCTTCTATTGAACTTTCAATCTGATCAACTTGAATGTTCAGTGCATCTATCTGGTTCTACAGAGATGATGATGATGATGGCGATGATGATGATGATAATTGTGGCGATGGTGATGATGATGGTGATGATGATGTCGATAACTACGATGATAATAACGATTCTAATGAAAACAATGATGATGGTTAATAAGAATGTCTGTGTTCATGCTGAAAGTAAAGAACTGATGGCAATTATCATTATCACAATGATGAAGATTATGATGATGATGATGGTGATGATGATGGTTATGATGATGACGATGACAGCTTATTATCCAATGGTAATAGTGTATAATAATAGTGTATCAAATGCAATGGTGTTAAAAGTTAGATGGCGCATATCTCAGTCATACTCCACTTAACAGAAATGGCAGTCATCCAGCAAAAAATAAATTATTTAAATTGACAACAGACAGAGAGAGAGAGAGAGAGAGAGAGAGAGAGAGAGAGAGAGAGAGAGAGAGAGAGAGAGAAATAGGAGAGTGAGGGAAGAGAGAGAACAAAGAGAGAGAACAAAAAAAAAAAGAGAGGAAGAGACACGAGAATATACACTAAAAAATTAAGAAGTATTGTTCAGCTATAAATTTATCTGAAAATGCTATAAACAAAAAAAACTACTAGAAGATAAATAGAATAAAATATGCAAAGGTAGCAAATGAGTGAGAGAGAGAGAGAGAGAGAGAAAGAGAGAGAGAGAGGAAGAAAACAAGAGAAAGAGAGAGAGAGAGAGAGAGGGAAACTTACAGAAAGCCACATTCTGATGTCATCTTTCTCCTTTTCTTTGGGGTCAACCTTTACAGCCGTCCCTAACCCAACCGTCGAGTAGGCCTTCGTCTTTGTCTCCCTCTCAATCACTTTAAACTGCTCCATTTTCTGAAAGAATTTTTTCACCAAATTAAAAACAAAACAATTACAAATAATTAATTAATAATGAATAAATAATAAATTAGTATAAATAAATTATATTATTTGTATGAAATTTATTTGTATTTATAGTTCAATAGAAGCAATGATATTTGTCATGAAAATTTGTATATCAAGTCTGGCTGTGCATATGAAACCAAATTAAAATTTTTATAAAAAAAAATTGAAAATATGAATATTGGTTAATTGAAATAATAAATATATACATTAAATATAATAATTAATTCAAATAAAATATAAAATGATAAAAATAATAGCAAACATTTTCTATGAGCTTTTTGTGCTCCAATAAGACATTTTTGTCCTTTATATCATTCGATGTTATCCAGCTTTTTACAAAATCTCGAAGCCGCTAAAAAATTAATTGATAATTTAAGTTTACATCTAAACAATTAATTGACATTTTAAAGTAATTGATAAAATTTGAATACCAAATATTTTCAAATGGCAACAGATAGAGCAGATCAATTGATAATTTTTGTATTTTTCAATGAAATGAAAAAAAAACAAATAAAAAATCAAAGCTTACACAGTTTGCACATTCAAAGTTAACATAGTTAATAACAATTTAAGCCATTAATATCTTAAATAACATTTTATAAAAAGAAAAAATTGAACAAAAAAAGGTTAAATTTTAATAAATTTAAAAAAATAATTAATAAAACCAAAAATTAATTGGTACCATACTTGTAACTTCTTTATCTCTTTCTTCAATTCAGCTTCGTGCTTCTCTTTGACATTGCAATTGACAGCACTGTGGACCTTTGGACAGATGTGCATATTAAGAACTCAATTTAAAATTAGTTAAAATTAATTGAACGTAAATGAAATAACTAATTAGTTAATTAATTAATAAATAATTGATTGATAATTGGTTACAAAAAAATCCTGCTACCTTGGCCCACATATCATCAAAGACTTCTATGCCCTCCACTATCTTCTTCAAAGTTCTGTCTATCTCACCTGAAAGTTTGATCATTTTTAGATGTGATTCAATTTGATTGATAGTGAATTGGCAGGAAATTGAACAACACAATCTTTTATAAAAAATTTGCTAAATGGCAAATTAAATTGTAACTTGATTTATTTGTAACAAGTCATTACGATTACAGACATAGATGAATGCAAAAACGACAAAACCAAAAGCATCAACAACTTCAATGCAAGCCCCCAACCATCACCAAATCAATAATATGAATAATTGAATATGAATGAGTGATGGTAAACAAAGAAAAAAAACAAAACCAACATTGTAATTTTCGTTTGTCAGCCATTGAAAGTAGGATAAGTTCGGCCAAGCGAAAGCCAACATTATACACGACGGTTCGAACGAATTTTTTGCATTTTGATTTTAATTTAAAAGGCGAAAATTGTTTGTTTACCATCCGAGCTGAAAGAACAAATATGGCGTCGCACAGCTGTAGTGCGGACGCGTTTTTAATTTTTTATATGGTATTTTCTTTTTCATATCTGTATCATTTTTACATCAGCCTGTATCATATCAAGTCCATACTCCGATATATCGAAAATATTTAAAAAAATCAAAAGTCCAGGACATGTCTCACTTTATTTCACAGAAACAAGCCGTAAAAGTAGAAAGAGATGCAATCAAATATGTGAATAAGTTGTTGGATTTTGAGACTAACAAAAGTATCATTTAGTGACTAGCTATCATAAAAACCATTATATATAAATCTATATATATATATATATATATATATATATATATATATATATCCATCCATACATACATATACAATCACATATAGTAAATACATACACACAATATCAATGATAAAAAGATCAGGTAGTATCAAAATGTATGTATGTATCTGTGTACATTGTATGCATGCATGAAGTAATGCACGTACGTATGAATGCATGCATGCATGTATGTTTGTATGTATAGATACACATGCGTGCATGTACGTATGTAAGAATGAATGAATAGATTGAATCACCAATATCTATCAAAATTTGCAAATTATAAATTGAACTTTTGTAATAATAATTTGTAATAAAAATAATAATAATTGCTAAAATAATAACAATATTAATGATGTTTGATATTAAATCTATCTCGATAGGATAAATTTGTATAAAATATCGAATTGTTAAAAACGAATGAATGAATGAATGAATGAATGAATGAATGAATGAATGGATACAATAATGGAAGGAATGAATTAATACTCGATTAGCCTTCTGAAAACTGCTAAATAATATGGACGTAAACATGTATTACTGATTGGTTGCTTATGAATGAACGAACGAACGAACGAATAT